ATATATATTTCTTGCTTACTTCATTCATAGCATGCACTTAATGAAGTTGATCCTGGTGATTGGCAGAAATTTGTGAAGGCGGGACTCAAGTAAGTTGATTTTATTTTCTTGGTGCCATTTAGTAAAGGTGTGAATGTCGCTCATGCAAAGCCTTTTTTATATCTAGTGATTAGCATAATACCTGTGGTAGAGCAGGTCACATCCTGTTTTTAGAGGTAGAAGATGTGGATTGTTGGAGAAGTTAAGTGATTTGCCTGTTGACACACAGGGTGCTTCTAATGATGAGAGAAGCAGTCTTAACAATACAGAGATGTGCAGAGAGTTAATAGCAGCCTCCAGATTTAATAAATGCTGACAGTTTTCTATATTTATTCCATTTCATTGTCATCCCTCCCTCATTGAAGGTCATCACTTTGTCTTATCTATGTGTAGTTTGTATCTTCATATTGTAAGTGTCATTATGTTTTTAAAAAATAGTATTAGTGTGTTTACAATTTTACACAGATGTATCATCTTTATATGTATCATTCTTTCTATATTTTTTCCCACTCAGATGTCTCTGATTTAGCCATGTTGATACACATAGCTCCAAATTCTTCATTTTTACTGCTGTGGAGTATTTGGTCTTCTGACCATACTGGTTTATGTAGCCAGTCCTCTACTGATGGACATCTAGGCTGTTCCCCCAACTCTCCCCACTTCTCATTACAGTCCTGCAGTGACTGTCACGTGTCTCTTGGTACATTGGTGGCGGTGGCTTGGAGAGTGTGGGTGCACCTTCAGTTCTAGATATTCAAATTCTTCTCCAGAGTTGCTGAGTAAACGCACACCCCCAGCAGGGTGTGTGAGAGTTCATTTTCCTTCTCGTCCTTGCTGACACTCTCTGGTCAGGCTGTTTAGTTTTTGGCAGTCAGATAGTCATGAAATGATGTAGCATTTTGCCTATAATTTTCATTTCCTTGACCATTTGTGAACATGAAACAGAGAAAAATATTTCACACAAGAGAAGAGAAAGAAGTGAAAGCGACAACTACAGATTACCATCATGGGATCATGATATTTCTTTCAGTCTTTGGTTAATTTGTGTTTCTAGAATGCTCGCCATATGCTAAGTGATTCTTAACATTATTCACATAGAACCAAAAAACTTTTTCTAGAGTGTGATGCTTTCTTTAGTGTGCTTTAAAGGGATTTAAGACATAGAAGGACCATTGTATGGAAGTTCTAAGTAGTTGCAAAGAAGAAAGGAGGGAGGATGGCTTGAAAGATGGGCTGGGGGCACTGAGTGTCATCTTTGCTCAGGCTTAGCTGTTCCACTGCCTCCTGGAATTTCAGCTAAACGGGAAGTTTGTTAGGTGTCGTGTCATAAAGGAAATAAAGGTGCTGTGTCTCCTCTTTGTTCTCAGAAGTGTTCCCTGTGATGGTGGACAGATAGGTATGTGATAGAGCGAGTGTAATGCCATGTCAGCAGTAGAGTCTAAATGGTGGGTACATGGGTAATCACTGTGAAATCCTCAACTTTGTGGCATGTTTGAAAATGTTCTGAATAAAATCCTGAGGAAAAAAATTTTTATTGTTTTCCTGCAAAATGAATGTCTCTTTCAGCAAAGCTCTTTTGCCTGTGACTCTTGCCTCCCAGATTTCGGTATCAGGACCACACATTTTTAAAGACCCTCCATGCTGCCATACAGCTGCTGTATCGCCCAGAAAGCTCTGTGCACACGAAGCTCATGCAGCTCCCTGTGATCCACATGATGCTCACCCAGCACTCTCTGTTTCTGCCAAGTCTCCTGAAGTCCGAAGAGGAGGAAGAGAACCTGGATGGTCAAGTCAAAGGTGACCCCTCATCCCACCCTCCCCTTTCAGATACAGCTTTTATTTCCTGATTTCTTCAAACTAGCTGTGTGCACTGAAGCTTATCTTCCACAGGTTCTCAGAGCTAGGAAGCATTTTCAAAACAGTATTAGAATGTTTTGTTTCCATCAAATCCAGGGTCAAGAAATGTTTCCTCTGACTTACGGTCAAACAGAAAATGCAAAACTGTTTTCTGTGCCTTATTGGGCTTACAGAAGTCATGTTGGAGATCTTATTGCCTTATCATGGGCTAATATCAAAATTTGGGAGTTAGGGAATATTAGGAGGTATGAAAAAAAAGTGTTGGTGTCTGTCCTGAGAGAATTGATTAGTTGCATGAAATTCTTAATGGGAAGATTGAAACTTTTGTCAAGGGTTAGAACTTGCCTATTGACAGTTTACTGCTAGAGAATTCTTCTAAAGCCCAGGTTTAGGCTCTATCCCAAATTCAGTGAGCATTGACTTTAGTGTCCATGAGTCCCGGGTATGGTGTACACTGTGGGAGATGTCAGACAAGGTGGGTTGGATGTTCCTGCCCTCTCAAAGCCACACTCTGTTTAGAAACAAAAAAATTAACACCCCAAAACCATTGGAAACCACCACAGGATTGGTCTGTAATAAACCCAGTTACTTGTATGGGTAATAGAAAAACCTCACTCTTCTATTCAGGCAGGAGTAGAAATACTAGAGATTCTAGTGGCGTGGGGGGAAAATGCTTTGATTTTAAAATCTTAGATGGCTTAAAATTTGGGAGACTAGGCCAGCCCGTGGCTCACTCGGTAGAGTGCGGTGCTGATAACACCAAGGCCACGGGTTCGGATCCTATATAGGGATGGCCGGTTTGCTCACTCGCTGAGCGTGGTGCTGACAACACCAAGCCAAGGGTTGAGATCCCCTTACCAGTCATCTTTTAAAAAAAAAAAAAAAAAAATTTTGGGAGACTAATATTTGGCTTTGTCAAAGACTTAACAGAGACTAATATTCAGAACAGAGACTAATGTTCAGCCTTGTCAAAGACCTAGGAAGACAGGTGATTGTGAAAATATGTTTATTTTTAAAATAAATAAATAAAAGGTAAGGGACTAGGTACCAGTGTCCAAAAACTAATACTGTTCAAAGAAAGATATTTCAAGCATTTAAATGTTCCTTGAGGTGGTTCCTCCTCTACTTGGACTCTGAATGTGTACGTCCCCTGTAGTGCAGTGCATTCAGTGTTGTTTCTTCCAGAAGTGCTGGTGGACCTGATGTCAACAGTGGTGAGGATATGCCCCTCTGTCTGTGAGAGCAGCCACTTTGCAGTGCTTCTTGGGGCCTATGGTGCCACTCTCAGCATCCTGGGTAAGGGTGTGAGGATTGGGTGACATAACTAGGGGGAGAGAGTTAGGACCACGCAGTGTGAGTGGGTGAGGGTGTGAGGGTTGGATGGTGTGAGCATGGGGAGGGTGTGAGGACTGGATGGTGTGAGCAGGGGGTGGGTGTGAGGGCTGGATGGGGTGTGAGCATGGGGAGGGTGTGAGGGCTGGGATGGTGTGAGCAGAAGGTGGGTGTGAGGGCTGGATGGGGTGTGAGCATGGGGAGGGTGTGAGGGCTGGATGGTGTGAGCAGGGGGTGGGTGTGAGGGCTGGATGGGGTGTGAGCATGGGGAGGGTGTGAGGGCTGGGATGGTGTGAGCAGAAGGTGGGTGTGAGGGCTGGATGGGGTGTGAGCATGGGGAGGGTGTGAGGGCTGGATGGTGTGAGCAGGGGGTGGGTGTGAGGGCTGGATGGGGTGTGAGCATGGGGAGGGTGCGAGGGCTGGATGGTGTCAGCAGGGGGAGGGTGTGAGGGCTGGATGGGGTGTGAGCATGGGGAGGGTGCGAGGGCTGGATGGTGTCAGCAGGGGGAGGGTGTGAGGGCTGGATGGGGTGTGAGCATGGGGAGGGTGCGAGGGCTGGATGGTGTCAGCAGGGGGAGGGTGTGAGGGCTGGATGGGGTGTGAGCATGGGGAGGGTGCGAGGGCTGGATGGTGTCAGCAGGGGGAGGGTGTGAGGGCTGGATGGGGTGTGAGCATGGGGAGGGTGCGAGGGCTGGATGGTGTCAGCAGGGGGAGGGTGTGAGGGCTGGATGGGGTGTGAGCATGGGGAGGGTGCGAGGGCTGGATGGTGTCAGCAGGGGGAGGGTGTGAGGGCTGGATGGGGTGTGAGCATGGGGAGGGTGCGAGGGCTGGATGGTGTCAGCAGGGGGAGGGTGTGAGGGCTGGATGGGGTGTGAGCATGGGGAGGGTGCGAGGGCTGGATGGTGTCAGCAGGGGGAGGGTGTGAGGGCTGGATGGGGTGTGAGCATGGGGAGGGTGCGAGGGCTGGATGGTGTCAGCAGGGGGAGGGTGTGAGGGCTGGATGGGGTGTGAGCATGGGGAGGGTGCGAGGGCTGGATGGTGTCAGCAGGGGGAGGGTGTGAGGGCTGGATGGGGTGTGAGCATGGGGAGGGTGCGAGGGCTGGATGGTGTCAGCAGGGGGAGGGTGTGAGGGCTGGATGGGGTGTGAGCATGGGGAGGGTGCGAGGGCTGGATGGTGTCAGCAGGGGGAGGGTGTGAGGGCTGGATGGGGTGTGAGCATGGGGAGGGTGCGAGGGCTGGATGGTGTCAGCAGGGGGAGGGTGTGAGGGCTGGATGGGGTGTGAGCATGGGGAGGGTGTGAGGGCGGGATGGTGTGAGCATGGGGAGGGTGTGAAGGCTGGATGGTATAAGCGGGGCAGGGCGGGTGTGAGGGCTGGATGGTGTGAGCAGGGGGAGGGTGTGAGCAGGGGAGTGTGTGAGGACCCAGCAGTGTGACTAGGGGAGAGTGTGAGGATCAGGTGGTGCATCGCAGGGTAATTTCTAAACAGACCCTTGTTTGACTTCTAGACCAGAAGATTTTACTTCTCCTCCAGGCCTATGAACAGAACAAGCTCAGCCTCATCAACTTCCGGTGAGTGTTGGGGCTGGAGGTGGACAAGCATGCATGGAGGGTGCTGGCCCTAGGACTGTCGCCCCCTGTCCGCAGAGAGCTCCCATTCTTTTTGATTCTCAGGAAAGGGTGAGAGAGATAGAACTGTCCTGGCTCACACGCCGCTGCAGCGTATGCTTCTCTGGGAAAAGCTTGGCCTCCTGCTGTAAGGAGTGTGTATAGTGGCTGGGACTGCTATGCTGGGCTGATTGCAGGGTGCCTGTCGGGCACGGACCTGTCCCCAAGCTCCCTCCTGGCTGGGGTGTCTTGTTTGGTTGATTTTTCTGGAAACCTTTCTCTTCATGCTTTACTTTAGATGAGAATGACTTATGATGTGGGGTGTGGTGGGGAAGAGTGAGGAGAAGTGACTAGACGTCAACTTCATTCTCTTGTCTCTGTGTGTCTGTCTCTAGGTTTGTCTCTTTCCTTTCTGTGTCAGTCCGTCACTCTGTGTCTCTCTTGTTTACTGCTCTTCTCTCTCTGTCCATCTGCCTATCTCTCCTCGGCTCCCAAGGCTGCTCACTAGTCTCCTTGGCCAGCATGACTTTGGCCCTGGGGGCCTGGGCTCCCCACCTTTCCATGTGGAGCCTGCCCCATCTCTGCAAGTGCTGGGACCCAGCAAGAACGTGATCAGGTGTGCTGTTGAGTAGAAAGTATTTTCAGATTTTCTTTGCTGCCCTAGATTCTTCTTTTGTCTTTAGCATTTGGGAGCAGCACCCTAACATCTTCCCCATATGTACATGAAAGAGGGTTTTGTGTGTTCAGACAGAAAGTGAGCTGACTGGGCCAAGCATAATGTTCAGGAGAGCTCTGCGGGGACAGGAAAGAAACTCTTTCCATTTCAGAGTGCTTTGTTTAAAGATAGAAGCTGTATTGGCCCAGAAGAAGAAAAGAAAGAAAAAGGAAAGAAAACCTCTCTCTCTTGAGAACATCCAGGTCTTGAGTGGACATTCTCTTTCCTTCCCCTCATGTGTGCTGGCCTCCCTCTCTCAGTGTTTTAGGACCATGGCAGCTGTGTCCTTTCTGGAATAGGACAGGACAGTCCCTGCATACATGAGGGAGCAGATTGGAGGCAGTTTTGTTACAGTGAAGGAAGAGCCTTTCTAACTATCCATTTCTGCATTAGGACAGCCTCTCACTCAGAGATCAGAGAAAGTCAAATGAGGTTGCCCGCCAAGTAACCGGGTTAGAGCTGGTTGTAGGAGGAATCTAGTTGTGGCTGCCAGGAGAAGAGGGTGGATGAAGGATGTGAAGTTCACAGTCTCTGTGTAGCCGAGGAGCATGGGAACATTTCCTCAGACTCAAACGTTACATCCACATCCTTAGACGAAGGAGCAGGCCTGAGCATGGAGAGCTCTGGGGAGCTCAGGGACATGCTCTTGCCAGTCAGGGGTTATGGGTCTGACGGTGTGGCACAGGCTGCCTGTCTGCTAGGAACCGAGGTTAACAGCCAGCACCCCCTTAAAGAGTTATTCTTTGTTTCTTTAACTTTAATAATTATTGTTTACTTGAATAGAAATGAGTCTTTGTATAAGAATTCTGTTTAGAAGTATTTAATTCAATAGATGTTCATTGAGCACCTGCTATTTATGAGGCCCTGGGCTCAGCACTCTCAGGAAAACCAAGGAGTGAGGCACGGTCTTCCCATCTACCAAAGGTGTCAGACATCTAACTCTTTTTAAAGTGGCATCTGACTCATGTCCTGTGGTGTAAACCAGTTGCCACAGAAGCACTGAGAACAGAGGCTGTTGTCTTCCCATCTACCAAAGGTGTCAGACATCTAACTCTTTTTAAAGTGGCATCTGACTCATGCCCTGTGGTGTAAACCAGTTGCCACAGAAGCACTGAGAACAGAGGCTGTTTCTGCTCGTGGCAGAGTTGGCCCTGAGGATAGGGAAGGATTCGACTGAGATGAGGTCGGCAGAGGAGTGTGGGGTACCAGGTGGAGGGAACAGTGTGCTCCATGGCTGGGAGGTGGGAAAGTCAGGACATTTAGGGGAAGGGTGAGTAGGCTGGCATATCTGGATCATAGGATTTGTGCAGACTGAAGCATTTCCATTCCTTCCGGGAGATAGCAGAGATATAATAGACACTTGCGGGGCAGAGAAATGGCCCTCATTAGAGCTAGGTTTTAGGGAGCATCCTGGCAGCAGTGGGGTGGTGGATAGGGATAGGGAGGTGAGGGGTGGTGGGGAAGAAGGAGGCATGTGTTATTTTCCAGGAGGTAGGCTAGGTTGGACTCTCTGGGCTGCTGCAGTAGCGGATGTGGCATAAAGGTTATGTGTGGCGTACACATGGTGGTCTCTAAATGGGGACAGCTAAAAGGCTTGTGCAGGCAGACCCGGTTCATTCATGGCCCCATGTGAGCAGAGAGAGGTCAGGATTCTGCAACTGTTGTCTAGCACAGACTCTGGAACTAGACCCCCGAAAGGTGGAATCCCAGCTCTGCGACTTACTAGCTGGGCATGTAACCAGCTAAGCAACTTCGTTAATCCTCTTTATTCCTCTTTATTCCCATTGGACAAGGTGGGTACTAATAGTACCTTCCTTATGGGGTTTTGTGCAGATTAAGTGACTTAATATGCACAATGGGCTTAGGATAGTGTCTGGCTTGTCGTAAGCCCTATGTAGGTGCTGGCTTCTGTCATCATCATTGACACTGTTACCCCACCCTCAACATCGCCAGCACCACAACCTGCTCCATTAGTTATGATGTGGATTAAGTGATATGACACATGTAACACTCCGTAAGCCCTATGTAGGTGCTGGCTTCTGTCATCATCATTGACACTGTTACCCCACCCTCAACGTCGCCAGCACCACAACCTGCTCCATTAGTTATGATGCGGATTAAGTGATATGACACATGTAACACTCGCAGAACAGCACCTGGTGTAAACCAGCAGCTTGACAAGTGCTGTCTATTGTGATTATTATCATTACGATTAATTCCATTTCTGGCAGGACCCCATGACCAGTCTGTCCTTCCCTCTCTGGTTCTAGGGTGCTGCTGTGGGGCCCAGCAGCCGTGGAGCATCACAAGACGTGCCGGAGTCTGGGCAAGTCACTGTGGCAGCAGCCGAGCGTCGGGGATGTCCTCCGCCTGCTGGATCGGGACCGAATGATGCAGACCATCCTGCACTTCCCCCAGAACCGGAGGCTGCTGCCCCTTGAGGTGCACTGGCGTGTTCTGCCCCTGCCCCTTCAGGGCTCCATCCTCACCCTCAGCTTCGCTCTTCTTGTTGTTTTTTTCTCTTTTTACTAAATTGAATTCCGCCCGTAAACAAAGGCTCCTGAATACCCATCACCCAACTTCGACATTTATCAGCACTGGCTACATTTCTTTCATTTACACCCCCACACACCAAAGATTATATCACTTCATATACAAGCACTGCTTTTTACAGAAGCACTTCTGTTTTATGCTCTTACATATTCAAGTTAACTTGAATTCTGGCAATAGTGGGTAAACATTTATGTGGTATCATATTCATAAGATTGAATTGCACATTTTTGTTGGTTTCGGCTATTTCAGGATGCACAGGAGCTGATATTTAAAGATAAGAGTTTGAGGGTGGATCTCAAGGGCCTGTACGATCCCTGCTTTCTCCTTCATCTCTTCAGTGAACTGACCAGGCCAGGTAATCCAGCCTCCTCTCCCCAGGGAGAGGTCTGCTGTGCAGGGCTCCTCACAGGTCAGATTGATCATGGTAATTATTGCCAAAATTGCCAGATTAGGGCCTACATCTTAAAAATAATTCTTAAAGGATTGTGTGAGAAGGGTGTTGAAGTATAATGTCCTCCAAATTTGAGAAAGTACTCTGAAACTGAAGAAGGAAGTGTGCAGGTCTGTTTGGTAATCAGAGATATTTAATAATCAGGGTGATGTACGTACAGGAAAGCTGGACAAAGTGAAGAATCAGATGTCAGTAGTGAGAGCTCTGGCTCTCTGCAGGTGGAACAATGTTTATATGGAAAAGCCTCTTCTACTAAAAATAACTTCAAGGAAACATCTTAAGTAGACTAAGTTGATAACGTCATTCACCACGTGTCTTGTGATTCATGAAGTAGGGGGTCTTGTCATGTTAGCACTCGGACCACTGATGCCACCTATTACAATAAATCATTCACTCCCTGAAACCTATGTTCCTTTTACAGTTTGTCCTAAGGTTAAAGTGTAATTATTGAAAAAGAGAAGTGAGGTTAAACAAAAATCAATACGGCAGGCAGGGCACAGAATGGCACTAGTTTTGTTCACTCTCTAATAAGCATCAGTCTTCTCACCTTTGCATTCCAGTGATTTTCAGCAAAGTCATAGTTCATGTTTGGAACATATAGTGACTCTTTAAAAAACATTTGTAATTTTAAAATCTGGGAGTGTCCCTTTGTTCTTGACATTTCTCTAATTCCTAATGGGGAGCATTTTCTGAATTTTTACTATATAGTGGTCAAATACCAACAGAAAAGAGATTTTATACCTGAGAAATCATCAGCCGGCTAAGGTTGGCTTTTTCTTGGCTTAAGTATATTTTAGAAATTGCGTTTTATGTCAAGTAGCCTATTGTATTGGGGGTGGGGGCTTAATCTTTGTGGGTGAATGGGACGGGGAGAGAGAATGAGAACGTGTACATGTGCATACGGATGAAGGCTGAGGAGATTGAGCTCCTGGGGTTGGTCAGGTCTGTCAGCTTTGGGCATTCTGATAGTGTGTAATGATAGCTCATCGTGGTTTTAATTTGCGTTTTCCTAATGGCTAATGTTGTTGAACATCCTGTGACTTATTTGCGTCTGCATATTGTCTTTGGTGAAATGTCTGTTCGTGTTTTTTGCCTATTTTCTAATGAGATTGGGGTTTTTTTGTTTTTTAATGTTAAGGTTTCTTTATATATTCTAAATACTTAATAGTCCTTTGAAGGATATGTGGTTCACAGACATTCTCAGTCTATAGTTTTACACTTTACATTTTACATTTAAGTTCATGATCTATTTTGAGTTTGTTTTTGTATAAGGTGTGAGGTTTTGGTCCAAGTTTATTTTTTTTTTTTGCCCATAGATGTCCGATTGTTCCAGCCCCCATTTGTTGAAAAGGCCATCTTTCTTCCTCATTACTGCTGGGCCGGGTAGGAGTCCCAGCTGCCCTCTAGGCCTCCATGGATCTTCCCTGGCTGGGAGGGATAGAAGTGACTCCATGTGGGGGACCCTCATCACCACTGGGCAGTGGTGAAAGTCCTTGCTTTCTGCTAGGCTTCCTCTGACATGCCAGTGGGGAGGAGGAAGGGTGTGTTGTTACTGCCCAGAGGGGATGAAAGTCCCGCCTCCCTACCCACCCTTCTCTGATGCCACCCCAGTAGGGGATTGGGGGTTCTTCCTTACAGCCTTTCAGGGGAGGAAGTCTGGGCTCCTGACTCCACCTTTGCTGGCAGGGTTGGAAGTGGGCTGCAGCGAAGTGTTTGATGTCACCCTCTGAATGTTTTCTGCCTTGCTCAGCTGCCCTTTGTCCAGTCTTTTGGTGAGACAGAGAATGCTTTTGTACGGGCTTTTTTTGAGTCTGTGCCTGTTAGCTAGCATTTCCAGGTAAGCTGGCTTCTTCTGCTCTAAGAGTAGGACATATGAGGCAAAAAAGACAACCTAGGGAACTGGGAACTCACTGCCTTGTTGATCCTCATGTCCTGAGGTCCCTAGCTGGTCTGCTTTCTTTCTACCTTTCAGAGTCATGTTTGTGTTATATATAATGTTCAAGATTTTTAGTTGTACTTAACAGGAATAATAGGGAAAAGTATAGCTACTCCCCCATCTTCTCAGAATTGGAAGTCTAATTTAATTAATTTTTAACATTAGGTAATATATTCAAGTAAAAAATTCAGGTGGTACTGAAGGGTATACAGTGAAACCTCCTTCCCACCTGTCCTGGCAATGGTTTCCTGTTCTGGAAGGCTACATGTGTTACCAGTTCCTTCCATATTCTCCCAGGTCTAGCTTGCTTTTAAAGGCCCATGAGATTGCAGTTGGCAGGTGTGGTGGTGGGGGGTGGAGGCGTGTATTTTGTTTCTGTGCTCAGTGGTGCAGCCAGCGTTATCCCTAAAGCCTCATTATCTCGAGGCTCCTTTCTACAGGACTTAATGGTTGGGTGGCTTTAGGTGGATTGGGGAGACCATGGTCCACTATTCATTCTGTTTTTCCCCTTTTTAAACTTGAAAATTTCTTTTTATACACAAGCGTTCCTACTTAGGAACAGATTTGCTGATCCTCTACCACTACCCTTTATATCCCTTTTAAAAAGATCAAAGAGGGCTGACTTTGCACAGAGATTTTCCCATCAATAGGTCTTTGTGTTGGCTCCAGCACCCTTTGATGAACACTGTGTTCTGCTGCTGAAGCTTGATTTTATTTGCAGCAGAGCAGGGGCCATTTCATACAGATGTCAGATTACAGTAATAGCAAGCGGATATCTTAATTGCCCTAGTGACTATTAAGTAGCAGGCCAACTGAGGCAGATGTACTAGTCGGTGGCCAGGAAGCTCTTCTGACTCCTGCCATGCCTTGATGGTGCTAGCTAAGTCTGTTTTTCATCAAACATGAAAGTAAATTTTGTACGGTCTAAAAATACAAGGTTGCTGGCTTTTGTAAGTTTAGTGAATTATAACAAATCATTTAGTCTATTCCTCTGTCTCGCAATAGAGCTTTTAGGAGACAGAAGGCAAAGGCTTGAAAAATATTTAATAATAATAGTAAAATATTAGCAAAATCAGACAGTGATTTTCACAAAATCTTGAATACTGTACACTGTACTTTTTTTTTCTTGGGGGGGACAGAGTCTGGGAAGCCTTTTCTGAAGACAGGTGACTAATAAATGGTCTTTCAAATGGGAGAAACCAGTCACCATTTTCCTTACCTTCAGAGCTCCAAAAACTACCTATTTTAAGTTTTATTGGTGTAATACAGGTAGAAAAATTTGCAAGGCATGTCTCTCCTAGTGTTGAAAAGGATTTACAATAGCTTAAAATACTGATTACACTAAAAATTTACATTGAAGTGGAACATTTCAAAAAGCATAAAGGTGAAGAGGGAAATAGATATACCCCTTCCCCCCAAAAAAACACATCCCAAAAGTATGTTCATTATATGTCGCTCTGGGTTACCTGTCGTCCCAAGCAACAAATAGAAGCCTCATGTTTTAAACAAATTTCTTTTTTTTTTTTAAAAGATGACCGGTAAGGGGATCTTAACCCTTGGCTTGGTGTTGTCAGCACCACGCTCAGGCAGCGAGCCAACCGGCCATCCCTATATGGGATCCGAACCCGGGGCCTTGGTGTTATCAGCACCACGCTCAGGCAGCGAGCCAACCGGCCATCC